CACCAAAAAAAAAAAAGGAATGTGAAAGTTAAAAAAGGTATAATTAAAATAAAACCTCACCAATTAATGGCCTGTTTGGGGAAGACACTGGATTCTCTCTTGATTAATAATATTAGCTTGTGTTTTGACAGAACTTTTTTCTGGTCTTGTGATTTAATTTACCCAGGAGAACTTCCTCTACCAGTATAGATCAGTACCTCTCAATAAACTCCACTGGCTCCCTATTACCTCCAGAATTAAATATAAAATGCTCTGTTTGGCATTCAAAGCCTTTCATCACCTAAGCCTCCTCCTACCTTTCCAGGCTTCTTAGACCTTACCCCAGGACACATACTCTTCTATCCAGTGACAATGGCCTCCTCTTCCTCTCTGACTACTGACCTCCCTGACACCCTTTATGTCCCAGCTAACACATCCTCTTTTAGAGGAAGCCTTCCCCAAATTTTCTTCATTTCAGTGCCTTCCTTTGATATCCTGTATGTAGCTTACATAGTATATATTGGTTTGCATGTTGTCTCCTCCGTTAGAATATAAGCTCCTTGAGTCAGGGACTGTCTTTTGCCTCTTTTTGGAGGGGTTTGGGGGAGAGCTCAAGCAAGTCACTGCTTTTACTCTGCCGTCTTGGCTCTGCCCCCTCTTCTGCCTTTTTTTGTATCCCTAGTGCTTAGCACAGTGCCTGGCATATAGTAGACACTTAATAAATATTGATTGATTGATCTCTGTAATTTTTATTTTAAAGAATTCCCAAGGATACTGAGTGACTTGTCCAGGGTCACATAGCCATTATGTGTCAGAGGTAGAACTTGAACCCAGGTCTTCCTGTCTCCTGGACCAGCTTAATAGAACTTACTGTTTGTCTCAAAACATGTACTCTGTATTCTACTGCTTTGGGTGACTTCACTCTTATTTGCAGCTTTGTTTAAAAAAAAAAGAAAAAGAAAAAAAAAAGAGTAGCCAATAGGAGTAGCAGCAGCAAGAGGGGAAAAAAAGAGGATTTTGCACTTTGAACTTTATATCAGGCACTTAAATTGCTGGAGAGACATGCCATTCTGAACCAAAGGTATGAAAAATGCGTTAAAAACATTATGAAATTAAGTCTAACCAGTGTTGCAAAGTTTCTCTGAATTTCCATATTTGTCATTTCTTTTTTTTCCATTTTTATTAATTTATTTTGATTCGTCAACAATCACTCCCATAAACTTTTGAGTTTTAAATTTTTCTCCCCCCCACCTCCCTCCCAAAGACATGGCACACAATCTGACATATACTTTACATATACATTCCTACTAAACATATTATCACATTAGTCATGTTATTTTTTATTTTTTAATTTTTTTTTAGTGAGGCAATTGGGGTTAAGTGACTTGCCCAGACTTCACACAGTTAGGAAGTATTATGTGTCTGAGGCCAGATTTGAACTCAGGTCCTCCTGACTCCAGGGCATTAGTCATGTTATAAGGAAGAATTAGAACCGACAGGAGAAACCACAAGAGAGAGGAAACAAAACAAAACAGAAGAAAAAATAGCTAATAGTATCTTTCAATCTGCATTCAAACTACATAATTCTTTCTTTGGATGTGGATAGCATTTTCTGTCATGAGGCCTTTGGAGATGTCTTCGATCCTTGTATTGCTGAGAAGGACTAAGTCTATCAAAGTTAGTCATCGGACAATGTGGCTGTTACTATGTACAACATTTTCCTGGTTCTGCTTACCTCGCGCAGCATTAGTCCATACAAGTCTTTCCAGGTTTTTCTGAAGTCAGCCTGCTTATCCTTTCTTATAGCACAATAGTATTACATTCCATTCATATACTACCACTTGTTCAGCCATTCCCCAATTGATGGGCATCCTCTCAATTTCCAGTTCTTTGCCACCACAAAAAGAGCTGCTATAAATATTTTTGTACGTGTTGGTCGTTTTCCCATTTGAATGAGCTCTTTGGGATATTGCCCTAGAAGTGCTATTGCTGGGTCAAAGGGTATGCACATTTTTATAGCTCTTTGGGTAGAGTTCCAAATTGCTCTCCAAAATGGTTGGATCCTTTCACAACTCTACCAACAAGGCATTAGTGTTCCAATTTTCCCACATCTTCTGCAGCATTTATCATTTTCCTGTTTTGTCATGTTGGCCAATCTGATAGGTGTGATGTGGTACCTCAGAGTTGTTTTCATTTGCATTTCTCTAATCAATAGTGATTTAGAGCATTTTTTTATATGACTATAGATGGCTTTAATTTCTTCATGGGAGAACTGCCTGTTCGTATCCTTTGACTATTTGTCAATTGGGGAATGACTTGTATTCTTATAAATTTGACTTAATTCTCTATATGTTTTAGAAACGAGGCCCTTATAGAGACACTGGTTGTAAAAATTCCCAATTTTCGAATTTTCTTCTAATCTTGGTTGCATTGGCTTTGTTTGTGCAAAAACTTTACAATTTAGTGTAATCAAAGTTATCTATTTTGCATTTTGTAATGTTCTCTATCTCCTGTTTGGTCATGAATTCTGTTCTCCATAAATCTGATAGGTAAACCATTCCTTGCTCTCCTGTTTTGCTTATAGTATCAGCCTTTATATTTAAATCATGTACCCATTTTGACTATGTTTTGGTATATGGTATGATATTAAGGTCTATGCCTAGTTTCTGCCATATTCTTTTCCAGTTTTCCCAGCAGTTTTGGTCAAAGAGTGAGTTCTTATTCCAGAAGCTGGTGTCTTTGGGTTTATCAAATAATAGATTAACATAGTCTTTGACTATTGTGTCTTGCATACTTAACCTATTCCACTGATCTAACACTCTATTTTTCTTAGCCAGTACCAAGAAATTTTGATGATTGCTGCTTTATAATGCAATTTAAGATCTGGAATGCTAGGCCACCTTGCCCTGCATTTCTTTTCATTAGTTCCCTTGATATTCTGGACCTTTGTTTTTCCAAATGAATCTTGTTATTATTTTTTCTAATTCTATAAAATAATTTTTTGGCAGTTTGGTATGGCACTGACTAAATTAGCTTAGGTAGAATTGTGATTTTTATTATATTAGCTCGGCCTACCCATGAACAACTGATGTTTTTCCAGTTATTTAGATCTGACTTTATTTGTGTGAAAAGTGTTTTGTAATTGTGTTCATAGAGTTCCTGGGTTTGTTTTGGCAGACAGACTCTCAAATATTTAATAATGTCTACAGTAACCTTAAATGGAATTTCTCTTTCTATCTCTTGCTGTTGGGCTTTGTTGGTAATATATAGAAATGCTGATGATTTATGTGGGTTTATTTTGTAGCCTGCAACTTTGCTAAAGTTGTTTATTATTTCAAGTCATTTTTTAACTTGATTCTCTAGGATTCGCTAAGTATATCATCATATCATCTGCAAAGAGTGATAGCTTTGTTTCTTCTTTGTCTATTCTAATACCTTCAATTTCTTTTTCTTCTCTTATTGCTAAAGCTAACATTTCCAGTACATATTTGTCATTTATAACAGAACAATAATATTCTACTACAATCATGTATTTATTCAATTAGGTGCTTAATAAATGCTTATTCTCTTCCTCACTTGGCTAAGGGTTGTTGGACTAATGGAGCAGAATGAGACATACATATATAGACACAGCTAAATTCTTGATTTATTTTTCTTTGCTGTATTTTTTTTTTTTTGGTTACAAAGGTGAGTAGATATGTGGAGGGTAGTCTTTGGGAAGCTATATATTCTTGATTTCAGAGAAACTGGACTACTCACTGTTTCCTTCATCTCCTTCTGTTCTGTCCTGTCTCCATGTTATTTGTATAGGCCATCTCCCATAGCTGCAGGGGAGCTATTCCCCCATCTCTACCTTTTGACATCTTTGCTTGTCTTCAATTGGATTATTGATATCAGCCTCCTAATTGGGATTCCTCTCTTCAGTGTCTCCCTTCTTCAATGTATACTCTGTATAGCTGCCACATTGATCTTCCTAAAGTATAAGTCTCACCATGTCACTGCCTTGCCTTCCCATTACCTATAGGATGAAATCCAAACACTTCTGTTGGACATTTAAAGCCTTTCACAGTCTGGCTCCCATTTTCTTTCTGCACTGATTTAACTGTCCTTCACAAAGTTTACATTTCTCCTAAACTGGATTACTTGCTGTTCTCTGTATCTGACAGAACATCTCCCACCACTGCGCCTTTGCAGAGGGAGTCTACCATATTTGGAATGTTCTCTCTCCTCATAGCCACCTTTTAGAATCCCTAGCTTGCTCCCTGTAAGGAACCGCCTCCTACATCAGGCCTTTGCTGATTCCTCCTCACACTGACTTGCTGACTCTCTGTCTATCCCCTGCTTGGCCTATTCTTCAGCCTGAATTCCATCTTCCACCTCCTTGGATCTGCACAGTGCAGGAATCCTGCATACCAGCAATGCTCTCTGTCTAGTTCTTCCTCTCAGAATCCTTATCTTCTTTCAGACCTGGGTTAGGGTAACCTCTAACATGAAGACTTTATTAGGGGGAATTAGGAATCTTACAGGGAAGCAGAAATCTCTGGTTGAACCTTGGACCCTCTGTTTCTGGAGAATAGAAGCCTGAGCATTTTGGGAAGAATCAGAGGAGAACAGAGAGGTCATTTTAAGCAGCAATAACTCTACTGCAAAGTTCCTCGAGTCATTGGAAAAGCAATCCAATGTGCCAATTGACTGCACCATCCGCCCATCTACAGGCCCTCCAGGACTTTGTAAGTCAGAGAGAGATGGGGAAAATATTTATTTCTTCACATCCTTTGACCTCCCTCATCTTCTTGCCCTCCTCCTCCATCTTTTCCCCATACTTCCCTTCTTTCCCCAATACTTCCTTTTGGTCAACTCCAGGGCTTCATGAGGAAATTGAAGGAGAGAACTCCCAGCCCTGGGGACAAGAGATGACCAATGACAAAAGAATGGGGGAAGCCACAGACCTCAGGGAACTGTTGAAATCCAATGGCTGGAGTAATCCCTTGCCCTTGTAAGGCTGGGGAGGAGCCAGTGAATAAAGGATAGCTCCTTCCTGCCCACAGCATTGAGGGCCAAGAGAATGAGGATGCAGAAGGGCTGGACCATGCAGGTAGCCCTACTGGTGCTGGGGCTGCTCAGCCTGATGACTCCACTTGTTTATGCCCAGGACCAGAGGTACCAGGATTTGGTGAATGAATTCATTCAGGAATACAACACGAAGTCTGGATCAGAAAACCTCTTTCGTCTTTCAATCCTGAATCTGCTGTCTGGGGAAGTGAGTAGCATTGGGATGGCGGGGGAGGCCTCCACATGCCAAGATTCCCTAATATGAACCTTTCCCTGTAGAAATCTGTGTTCTCATTGCTGGGAGATATTGTGGTATAGTGGAAAGAGAGAGACAGCTAGGTGGCAGAGTAGATAGAGCACTGGCCCTGAAAGTCAGGGAGATCTAAGTTCAAATGCACTCTCAGGCACTTACTAACTCGGTGACTGGCATATCATTTAACCTCTGTTTGCCTCAGTTTCCTTTACTATGATGTGGGGATAATAATAGCACCTACCTCCTAGAGCTGTTAAGAGGGTCAAATGAGATAATAATTGTAAAACACATGGGACAGTGTCCTGACATATAGTAGCATTGTATAAATGTTTGCTATTATTATTATTATTATTATTGGAGTCAGAAGACCTGAGTTCTCATTCTAGTTCTAACACATTTTTCTGACTCTGAGCAAGGTATGTTCCCTGTCAAACTTTCAGTTTTCTCATCTGTAAAATGGGGATGATAATCCATGCCTGGTGTATCTCAGAGTATCCTTGTGAGGACTGCCCTGCCTTGAATTCCCTTCCCCTTCCCCCTCACTTTCCAATCCTGCTCCCACCTCAGAGGAGAGCTCAAGCTCCCCATCAGTGACACCAGGCCAGAGGGATTTCTGTATCTCTCTCCACATAGCCTACAGCCCTGTACAGGATCATAGGCTGTCAAGCCAGAACGAACCTTAGATGTCACTGAGTTTAACCCCCTTTGTTTACAAAGTAGGAAATTGTGGTCCAGAGAAATGAAGGGTAAATAACAGTAAGTAACAGAACTGGGAATGAGGGAATGAATAAATGAAAGAGTGAATGAATGACAAGGCATTTCTGAATCCAGGGCTTTCCTTCTTTTAGTGATTTCCTATTTATCCTGCACATCTTTGCTTTGTGTATGTTTGTTCTCATGTCTCCCTCCTATTAGATTGTCAGCTCCTTGAGGGCAGGGGCTGCCTTGTCCCTCTTTTTGGATCCCCAGTGCTTAGCGCAGTGCCTGGCACATAGTGGGTACTTAATAAATGCTGATTGATTGATTGAATCCCTTGCTATGTCCCAGGAATAATGCTAAGCATTCAGGTCTTCAGACTCCAAATCCAGGACTCTTGTTACTACTGGAACTCTTATGTGGCCCTGAGTAGGTTTCAACTTGCATTAGTTTTTTTTTTTTTGTATTTGAAAGTTTTTGTCTCCCAACTAGCCGGAGGTGTCTCCTGAGCACAGGGAATGTGGAAGCTGAGCACAGGGGGACCCCAGAAGTCATTCAGTAGACACTGTTTGGATGAATGCCTGTTCTGGATGCCCACATTTCTGACACTGCAGCCGGTGTGACCTTGGGCAAGTCACCTAACTTTCCTAGTTCCTTCATCTAGAATTCGAGGGGGTCAGACTAGATGGTTTCTAAGGTCCCTTCCAGCACTGAATACTTGCTCCTGTCCCAACAGGGGCTCAGATGTGGCCTAGATCTACTTTTGTTGTTGTTGTTGAGGCAGTTGGGGTTAAGTGAATTGCTTAGGGTTACACCATTAGTATCGTATGTCTGAGGCCGAATTTGAACTGAGGTCCTCCTGACTCTAGGGCGGTAGCTTGGTCTGCTGTACCACCTAGCTGTCCAAGGAATGCTGCAAATCAACCTTTGTGTGTGTGTGTGTGTGTGTGTGTGTGTGTGTGTGTGTGAGGCAATTGGGGTTAATTGACTTGCTTGGAGTGGCCTAGGTCTAAAGGCTGTGCTTCCTCCCCAGAACAATGATCCTGCTGCTCCTCAACTTCTGAGCTTCACTATGAGGGAGACCGTGTGCCCCAATACTGAAAATCGCGATCCAGATGAATGTGACTTCAAGGAAAATGGGGTGAGAAGAGTGTCCTGGGCTCGGGAGGGAGACTGACTGAACGAGTCTCTTTCTGGGGACATTGCCACCTTAGAGCAGGGAGGGTGCTGAGCTCTGCTTCCTGCTGCCCTGAACAAAGTGATTCCCCCAAGATGAGCAGCAGAAAACCCTCCCAGTGCGCTGGCTTGGGGCAAAGCTTGAGCCTGTTGTCAGTCCTGGCATGTCAGGGGCAGAGGTTGCAGACTGGCAGTCCTGAACTCTCTCTGCAACCCTTCACAGGTGGTGAAAGAATGTCTTGGAGCCATTGGTCTGGATTCTCCTAAGCCCTCTGCTAATATTTCCTGTGATGGGGTAAGTGCTGAATCCTCAGTGGGGGCTAGGAGAAGAGCCTAAACCTGCAGAGTCCACTAGGGATCTATGGTGCCTTCTGTCTTGGGGGCTGCTGGGATTGATCTGCAGCTGGAGGGGCTTGGGACTGACTTTGACCATGCTGCCCTCTCCAACCTTAGCCTCAGCTTAGCCTCCCTTTTCTTCTTCCAGGTTTCAGGAGGGCTGTAGATACAGAGGCAGGAGCATTTCTCTCCCCCATCCACCTTACCCAACCCCAGATCTGGAGCTTGAGGGGTCTTTGGCTTCAGAGTCCTAGGGCAAGAGGGAAGAAGAGAAGGATAATGGGAGAGGAAGGGCCTAGACCTGTGTTTCCAGAGAATCAATCCCAGGATTTTGAACTGGAGGGAATTCTAGAAATCATCTAGTTTAACTCCCCCTCCCCCAACTTACAGAGAAGTAAACTTAGGCTCAGAGATGTGAAGTGATGTTACCCAAAGTCATAGAGCTAACTAATGCCAACGTTAAAACAGGTGTTCTGACTCAGTCCAACTACCTTGATAACTCCAAGAGCTCAGTGATGAGGTGGGTTAGGGGTATTATGGTGGGGTTGGCTGGGGGCACAGCCAGTGTTCCTGCCAGCCATTATGAAGAGGGGGCTGTGAGTTCAGGTGTGGTCCAGCCAGGGGCATAGTCAATGTGACCTGGTCCCAGTGTGCTCCTGGAGGGTAGAAGGTTTTAAGGGGTGAGGTAAAGATTTCTCATTGTCCTCTACATCTCCTGGGCACAGAAACAGGAGGAGGGTGTCCTGGGAAGACTTCTTATCATTTTCAAAATGAACATGAAGAAGCCCCTGAGACTTTAGCTTTGTGTGCTGGGTGGAGTACTGGGTTTAGAGTCGCAAGGCTGAAGATTTGGGCTTGAGGCCTGGGTCTGCCAGCTGCACCACCATCTGTCTTAAGTTTCCTCCTTTCTAAGGTAGAGGTTGCACCAGACACTGTGGAGGGCTCTCCAAGGTCTGAGTCTCATGAAGCTCTAAGTTATTCCATTCCCTGGTGGGCAGGTTTTTCTTCCCTCCTCAGCCTGACCCCCAGAGACCTGAACTAATAACATCTGTTTGTCTTCCCTCTGCAGCCTGAAAAGATCACAAGAAAACGTGATTTTCCACGAATGCTTGGGAGAGCATTGATCAGAATCGGGAACCTTCTTTTAAGAGTATGAAGGAAAATACCATTTTCTGTCCCATTCATAGGTTAGACTCCTATGTGAGACTGAGCCTCAGCTTCTGTTTAAGGCCCTGCACTCTGCCTTGCGCTCCTCAGATTAATAAACTCCAGTTTTATTCTCTCTGCCTCTATGTTTTCTCAGACTTCTCCTCCATTCAGCTCATTTCTCGCTGAACATTGAAGTACTTATCACGTATCTTAGACTGCACATAAAAAGTAGAGAACACCAGCCACAGTCTGTCCCCATAAGGAGTTTATAATCTAGGAGGGGTGGGAGAGGGAGCTGACATGTAAACACACAATGTAACCTGCCACTCTGTGTTAGGAACAGGCAACATCTAAACAGAGTGGTCTAGGAAAACAGAGACAGAGATCACTTTCTGGTTAGGCCTGGGGGGACCGGGGAGGCAATAGATCTGTGAAGGCTTCCTGGAAGAAGTGGTGTCTGAGCTGGGCCTTGGAGGAAGACAAGGCTTTCAGCAGGCAGACAGGAGAAGGGATACATTCCAGGCCCAGGGAACTCTCTTTAGGCAGGTCAAGAGAAGTCTATGGAACAGCTAGAAATCTAGCCTGCCCCCAAAATATTTAGAGCATTAAGGGGTGTTGTTTGTAAAGTGTTGTAGGTGGTAAGGGACCAAGAGGGTCTTAAATATCAGGCCTTCCCCTGGAGTTTGTCATTTATCCCATAGACAATGGTGTGTCCCTGAAGGTTTTTTGTTTGTCTTTTTTTTTTCCAGGTGCCGCAATTGTGGTGAAGTAATTTGTAAGTGATTTGTGAAGTAATTACAGCTAGTAAGTGTTTCTGAGACTGGATTTGAACTCAAGTCCTCCTGACTTCAGGGCCTGTGCTCTATCCATCGTGCCACCCACCTGCCCCTGTCTATTTGTTTTAAGCACTAGAGTGACAAGATCATATCTTTTCATTAGGGAGATAATTTCATTAGGAAACTGTGTCCAGGATGGAGTGGAGAAGGGAGAGATTAGACACAGGGGGACCAGTTAGGAAGCTATTCCAATAAGTGAATGGTGATGAGGTTTTGCTCTGGCCTGGTGGTTATAGGAATGGAAAAGAGGGGTTGGATGGGAAAGATGAAGTGGACAGGCTAGGACGTAGAATTGACCAGATTTGGCAACTGACTGGATGAGGTGCATGGTGGAAAAGGCAGAGTGAAAGTTGACTCCATCATCCTGGGAATGAGCAACCTACTTAGACCCAATTGACGTTAGAGAACCCAGTCCAGTGATTCTTGTGAGCAAAACATCAATATTGTATATGGAGAGATGGGAAAGGAAAACTTGTCCCTTTGAATAATATAGAATTTTACTAGCAAGAAGTGAAATCAGACCCATGTCTCTCATCCCAATTTCCCCAATGCAATATCACATTAGGACTCAGAATCTCTCAGACTCCAAGCACAGGTGAGGGTGGTAAACCTCTCACTTTCCCTAGAATTTATTCATTGCCGATGCTCTGACTTGGAGACTCCCTCTCCCTACTCTAGATTTAAAAATAGGCACACAATCCAGCAGAACTCTCAAGTTTCCATACATTCCCTCACTCTCACCTCTACAGAAATTCAACAGAAATGCCAGGGACTCTCAACATCTACTGCCTTTTCTTCAGCAGCATCAAGGGAATGAATATCTGTGAAAGTATGGGCAGTTGTAGTCTGGCAAAAGAGCCCAGACAGAGCTGTAACTAGGATAGAGTGGTTAGGGTTTTGTCTAGGGAATGGACTTCTAGAGGCATGATTGATCCCTGCGGCAGTCTTCTAGCTTGGCCCCCCCTCCCACATATAGGTCTAGGATTTCATGAATGCTCCCAAGGGTCCCTCTGTTCTAGGACCCTTCTCCCTGGGCTTATACTCTCAGGGCACTCCTATCTACAAGCTATCCCCTCCCCCACCCCATTGACACATCCTCCTAGGAACTGGTCATCTGGCTAACATCATCTATTCTTTCACAACATGGGGCATAATTGCCCCTGAAGTAGATTATCTTTTAATGTCAATTCCACCCACCCCCAACTGAATTTGCCTTGGGCTTAAGATTCCTACTTTTGATTTAAATCCTGCCACCTTTCTGAGGCATAGTGATTTTGTCTTTGAACTAGGTAGCACCTAGATTGTATCACACACATTCAGAATGACTCAAAATGACACTCCTGTATCTTTGCTAAGAAAACCCAAATGGGGTCATGAAGAGTCACACACGACTATTGAACAACCACCACCATTCTAGCAGGCTTACTTGCCTTTAGACTTTACCTAACATATTGGCTGTGCCTTTCTAGTCTCCATAATATCATGTTGTTTTTATGGTTATCTGGATTGGTATCTTATCCCTGTACTAGATCCTAAGCTCCTCCAGGTCTATACTGTATCTCCCCCCAAGCCCAGCAAAATGCTTTGAACACAGTAGGCACTTACTATGTTTGCTGAATTGAATTGCCTGCAGAGGGGTTCCACTTGAACCCTCATGTTTCTATTCCACAATACCTTGTTTTCCGTACTACATTTCTTGGTCTGATGACAGGGCCCTCTACCCTCAGGTTTCAAACTTGCCATCTCCAGCTTCATTTTCCGCTGCTATACTCCAGACACAACAGGCTTCTTGGGGTCTCTCTTGAGGTACAAGCTGGAGAAGATAGGGATAAGACTGAAGAGGAGAGAATTGGAAACCAGCCCCTGAGAGCCAATAGGAATCATAATAGTAATAAAATAATGATAGCCTTTATGTAGCAATCTAAAATTTATAAAGTGCTTTACCAATATCCTCTCATTTGATCTGCATGACCACCTGCTATTATTATTCCATTTTATAGATGAGGAAACTGATGCTGTTTAAGTGACTTGCCTTGCGTCACACAACTAGTACATATCTGAGGATGGATTTGAACTTAGGGCTTATTGACTCCAGGCTCAGTGCTCTATTCATTGCCCCACTTTCTCTTTTTCTCTCCAAGCCATCTAGAAACAACCATTTATGCATAACCATTTGATTTATTCATTAAATTAAATTTTATAATTTAGGAAAGAAAGTACCTTTAGAAACTCAAGTAAAGAGTACTTTTCCACCTCTTGAAATTACTAAGCTTGTTTAAAGTGACTTATTAAAAAACTATTTAGGGGGCAGCTAGGTGGTGCAGTGGATAGAGCACCGGCCCTGAAGTCAGGAGGACCTGAGTTCAAATTCGGCCTCAGACCAAACACTTGACACGCTTACTAGCTGTGTGACCCTAGGCAAGTCACTTAACCCCAATTGCCTAAAAAAAAAATATTTATGTCATTCGTTTTAAAAAAATTCAAGCTCTGAATTCTTTCCTTCTCTCAAGCCCCTCCCCCACCCATTGAGAAGCAAGTCATGTGATATCAATTATACATGTGACATGAGGCAAAACATATTTCCATTTTAGTCACGTCACAAAAAAGCAAAAAAAAAAAAGGGAAAAATAATACTTCAGTTTGTACTCAGAGTTCATTAATTCTCTTTCTGGAGGTGGATGGAATTTTTTTTTTTGTCATGAGTCCTTTAGAATTGTCTTGGATCGTTGTGTTGATCAGAGTAGCTAAATCTTTCACAGTGAATTATCATTGCAATATTACTGTTATTGAATACAATGATGTCTTGGTTCTGCTCACTTCACTCTTGATCGGTTCATATAAGTCTTCTCAGGTTTTTCTGAAACCACCCCCCTCCTCATTTCTTATGGCATAATAGTACTCCATCACAATCATACACCACAACTTGTTCAGCCATTCCCCAACTGATGGGCATCTCTTCAAATTCCAATTCTTTGCCACCACTAAAACAGCTGCTCTAAATATTTTTGTACATAGGGGTGCTTTCTCTTTTTCTTTGATCTCTTTGGAATGCAGACATAACAGTGGTATTGCTGAATCAAAGGGTATGCACAGTTTGATTGCCTTCGGGCACAGTTCCAAATTGTTGTCCAGAATGATTGGACCAATTGACAAGTAGCCCAATAGTGCCTTAGTATCCCTATTTTCCACATCCTTTCCAACATTTGTCTTTTTCCTTTTCTGTCATATTCTCTAATCTTACAATTGTGAGGTCGTGTCTCAGAGTTGTTTTAATTTGCCTTTCTCTTGCAAAGTGAAATGAACAGAACCAGGAAAACATGGTAGACAGTATCAGCAACATTGTGTGAGGATTAACTATGAATGATTTAGATCTTCTTATTAACACAGTGATCTAAGACAAGTACAAAGAACTCAGAATGGAAAATGCTATCCACATCCAAAAAACTGAAGGACTCTGAATGCAGATCAAAGCATACTTTTTGATTTACTTTATTTTTTTCGTTGTTTTTTTCCCTTTGATGTGTTTCTTCTTTCACAACTGTGACTAACATGGAGATATGCTTTCCACAATTGCACATATATAACCTATATCAAATTGCCTAGCATTTTAGGAAGAGGGGAAATGAGGGAAGAAGGGAAAAAAATTTAGATTTCAAAATCTTGTAAAAATGGACGCTAAAAATTGTGTTGACATATAATTGGCGAAAAATAAATCACTATTAAAATTTGTCTTTCTCTAATCAATAGGGATTTAGCGCATTTCTTATCTGATTTGATAGCTTTGATTTCTTCTTCTACAAATTGCCTATTCATATCTTTTGACCATTTCTCAACTAGGTATTGGTCTTTGTATCAATAAAGTTGACTCAGTTCCCTATATTTGAGAAATGAATCCTTTATCAGACAGGCTTGTAAATTTTTTTGATATTATTTCATTGTCTATGGTACCTTTTAGCAAGATGTGGTTTCCCTGATTATCTCTTTCAATTATGTTATCTTTTTCTTCTTTTGTGTCTCTAAGATCATGATTGCTACCCTTGCCTTTTTTCATTTCAGCTAAAAGACAACAGATTCTTTTCCAGCCCCTTATGTTAACTCTGTGTCTTTCTGTTTCAAATGCTCCTCTCTTAAACAACATATTGTTAGTTTCTGGTTTCCATTCCATTCCACTATCCACTTCTGTTTTGTGGGTGAATTCATGCCATTCACATTCACAGTTATGGTTACTAACTGTGTGTTTCTCGTCATCCTTTTCTCTTCTGCTTATTCTTCTATTTTTCTTTTTACTCTGTCCCTCCTCAAAAA